CCTTCCTCTTCCTCCTTCCTTCCCTCCCTCCCTCCATCTCCCTTCCTCTCTCTCCAAAATCAATCAATAAAAAAAATTGAAAAATAGGTAGGAATCAAAAGAAACAAGGAGAAAAAAATAGTTGTCTTAAGTCTAGTTTTACAGAACACATGGACTTTATTCATAGGAAAGGTCTGAATTCTTGAAACTTCTTGGAGTAAGGACAGTGGTTCCTACTCTTTTAGTTTCCTACTGCAGAGATAAAGACTTCAGCCTGAGCAGTAAGTAGGATAATTTAGAAATGTTATTTTAACCATTTTTGAGTCTTTATCAAGTCTTTTTACTTCAGTTTTGTCACATTATTAAAATTGGGTTTTTATTTTTCTTATTTAATGCATTCATTCTCTAGACCTGGAATCAGCCATTTGAAGATATATTTTTAATTCTTGCTCTATTTTAGTTGGAGCTTTTTGAAGGCCAGATAAGATAAAATGTGAAAATGCATTATGAGCTTTAAAGGATTTGACAACAAATAGTTGTTATGAATGATAATGTGCTATGTGTTCAGTAGCATGATTAACTGACCACTGTCAAATGCTGGAGATTAGATTTGAGCTCGGTCTTGAATGAGAATAGGATTTTTACTAGTAGAGAAAGGGCTGTTCAATGTAGGAAACAACATAAACCAAACATAACAGATAAATAAGTTAAACAGAATTTAAAACTTAAAATGCAGAGGTATTTTATAAAACAGTTTATTTCTATTGTCCAGCCTGTTATATAGTCAGATATTTAATCCAAATATGCCAGTACTCATTGGCTTTTCAAGTAACCTGAGCATTTTACAAGAATGCTACTGTGATTACACAAAAACCTTTCCGAAGTCCCTGTAGTATAGCCATCAGTAATCATGTGCTTTGAAGATGGGGGGAAGAAACCATTTTTATGTTATCACAAAGGATGAAACAGAGAAGCCAACTAATATAGTGGCTTATTTTTCTGACATGTTTCCCTTATTAAAAAGCTGACAGGTGAATCTATTAGAATTTTTTTCTTCTAAAGTACGTTAAGATATAAAATATTTTTAAAGTATTGATTATGTCTATCATTTATTATTGAATGCTTTCTGTGTGATAGATGTTGTGTTGGGTGCTTTAAATTCACTATCGTTTTGTATCTTAAAACAACTTTGTAAAACAAGGTATAATAACAAAAGAGGAAACTGAGGCTCAGAGAAGTTAATGAAATAAGCCAAGAATACTTAGCTAGTCAGTGACAGAGCCTGAATTTGAACTTATGCTGTTTGACTTAAAAACCTGGAATATTTTTTCCCCCACTTTATTTGTTTATTTTTAATTTTGTTACTCCTCACCTGAAGATATTTTTTGCATTGGTTTTTTTTAGGGAGAGTGGGATAGAAGGAGAGAGGGAGGTAGGGAGAGGGGGGGAGAGAGAGAAGGAGGGAGGGACAGAGAGAGAGAGAGAAACATTGATATGAGAGAGAGACACCAATTGGTTGCCTCCTGTGTGGGCCCCCACCAGGGCCCGGGGTTGAACCTGCAACCCAGATACGTGCTCTCAGCTGGGAATCAAACCCACAACCTTTTGGTGATCAGGCTGATGCTCTAACCACTGAGGACATGGGCCAGGGCTTTTTTTTCCATTAAAAAAATTTTTTTTTCCTTCCCTATTATAGTTGACTTATATTATTATTAGTTTCAGGTGTACACCCCAGTGATTAGACATTACCTAACTTCCTAAGTGATCATCCCAATTAATCTGGCACCCATCTGAAACCATGCATAGTTATTAGAATATTATTGACTATATTCCTTATGCTGTACTTTACACCCATCCCTATGACTATTCTCTGATAACCAATTTGTACTTTTTAATCCCTTTACCTTTTTCACCCTTTACCCCAATGCTACTCCCATCTGGCTACTGTCAAAATGTTCTCTGTATCTATGAGTCTTTCTGTTCTGCTTGTTTGTTTATTTTGTGTTTTTTAGAGTCAGTTGATGGATATGTATGTATTGCCATTTTATTGTTCATATTTTTATCATTTTTTTTTTCCCTCTTTTTCTTAAAGAAGACCCTTAAACATTTCATATAGTACTGGTTTGGTGGTGATGAACTCCTTCACCTTTATTTTTTTTTTTAATCCGGGAAGCTCTTTATCTGTGTTTCGATTCTAAATGATAGCTTTGCTGGGTAGAAGTAATCTTGGTTGTAGGTCTTTGCTTTTTCTCACTTTGAGTATTTCTTGCCACTCCCTTCTGGCCTACAAAATTTCTATTGAGAAATCAGTTGACAGTCTTATGGGAGCAAGACTAGAATATTCCTAATATATTTACTTTATGAATTCTACTTTTAGTGTACAGGTGGGAGCATTAAAATATGATGTTCAGGTTTCAAATTCTTATTACCAAGTACAGTTGTGTGTCACTTTCAGAAAGAACTCTTGCCTGCCTAGTTATAGCCTAAATATCCCCATTTCTCTTGTTAATGATCTGAATAAGACTAATACCTTTTAGGTATAAGGCAATGGTTTGTAAACTAGAAACTCTTTAGAAATGAAATCCTTGTACAAACAAAATTTTGTGCAATGGTCTAAGAAAATATAAAAGGACAGCTTCTCTGTCAGACATGTCCAGTAGTCCCTAAGAGGAGCCTCTGAGGCTCTGGAAACATAATTTGAAAACCTAACTCCTTCCATTCTAATCCCTTTTGTATAGATGAATGAATGAGTTATTATCATTCAAGATTAGTTGTTTCCACTTTGTACATGAGAATAAATGGATAATGTAACCTAAGACCATGAATAGACCACTTCTTTGTTAGTTGGGAAAAGAATAACTTTCCATTAAACCTTTTAAGTTGTTAAATAAAAAGCTTGTAAAGGCGCTCTAAATTGTTGTTGTTCTTTTTGTTAATCCTCACCGGAGGGTATTTTTGCCCCCATTGCTTTTCAGAGAGAGTGGAAGGGAACTGTGTGGGGCGGGGGGCACTGACATCAATGTGAGAGAGACACACATCAATTGGTTGCCTCCTGCACGCACCCTGACTG